TATATATATATATATATATATATATATATATATATATATGTAAATATATAAAGGCTCAAACAATAATATTTCATGGTAATAATTTATTCCATTGGAATCGTAATTACGATCCAATTCATCGGACCATTTTTGTATTTTTAAGTCTGATGAATTGGATCGTGATGGCGATTACAAATGTAATCAATTATAACCAAGGAATATTAGTATTTGAGCCATTTATATTTTATTCTTGCTCTGTCCTGGAAATTGAGCTCTACCTGGATTCTATCCTCTTGGAAATTCACACACACAAACACACACACACACATATATATATATATATATATATATATATATATATATATATATATATATATATATATATATATTCCTCCTTGAAGTTCTTCGTAACTTATATATATATATATATATATATGTGTGTGTGTGTGTGTGTGTGTGTGTGTGCAGACTGCTAATATATATATATATATATATATATATATATATATATATATATATATATATATATAATTCATCCAGTCTGAAACCTCAATAGAATGCAGAAAGCACTGGACGGCCGTTTCGTCGAAGAAATTGCAAATCAGACTCAATATAGCGCCGCTCGCTCACATATTCCGTGGTGGAACTCTGCTGAGTTACTCTCAAACAAGAGGACTGTGTCCCCAGGGGCCACGACTACGCTCATCAAGCCGCTCACTCTAGAGCAGTAAAAGCCGGTTCAAGCAATGATATACAAGTGATAGAAATTATTCCGTGGTGGAACTCTACTCGATGAATGGAACAGTTGTTATGATGTTTGCTTGACAACCTAATTGTCAGGGTTTCAATTCCCGGTAATGGATGCGCACTGCTGATGCGTCCCAAATATAGGACGCATTTCTGCATTCTGTTGACGTTTCAGACTCGTTGAATTACTTAAATATAATTATGAAATCCTCCTAATGATTTCTATCATATATATATATATATATATATGTATTTATGTTTATACGTTCTATTTATAGGTACAAATATTTAAGTAAATGCTCTGTTTATAATAAATAGTATTAACAACATTTACCGGCCTGAATGTCCGAGAAACTTTCATGGAAAATATGCGTCCTCCGGCAAGAATCGAACCTGTATCATATACGGAAAGGTCATATCGCCTGACGTGCTTTACCGTTTTAGCCAGAGAGGAGCGTTTCGGTGAGCAATGTCGATTTTACTGTTTTTAAACTGCAATTCTCCCTGATTTTCTCTCGTCCATTCATATCTGCTCGATGCGTACCCAAATGTAAACAAATGATGTAACACATTATGAAATGGACAAAGTCCGACAATTATTTAAAGACATTTTTTACTAGACCGTATAAACATAAAAATATCTTAAAATAATTGTCGGACTTTGTCCATTTCATAATGTGCGACGTCATTTATATATATATATATATATATATATATATATATATATATATATATATATACCACTCAGGTTTAGTGGGTTTATATACTTCAGTTTGTTTGGTACGGGCAGAGTATTGACCGTGACGAGCTATATTTTGCTATAGTTTGTGTAATTATTATTATTATTATTATTATTTTCTTTGATTTCTGGCGTTTACACATTTCTTTCCGGGTCCCGCCCAGGTTAGAAATGACCTCATGACGCTTTCCACTGACAAAAAAAAAAAAAAAATTATATAGATAAAGCCCTTCGTAAAGTGTGGGCTGTACTTGTCAGAACAATTTTTTGCATCTCCTTGAGGCATAGACTTCCAAGAATCCCTTCAATTGGTCTATTGGAATCTTTTCCAACCAATCCGAGGGCTCCAACTATAACAGGGATTGTTGATGTTCCCATATGCCACATTTTCGAGATTTCTATTTCAAGGTCCTTGTATTTTGACAGCTTTTTGAATATCTTCAAAGATACATTGCAGTCAGCAGTGACTGCCATATCAATAAGGAGGCACTTTTTTTGTTTGTGGTCTTTAATAACAATATCTGGGCGGTTGGCTTTGATTGTTCTGTCAGTATATATTGTGTAGTCCCATAGAATTGTAACAGGTCTTATCCCCGTAACCGGGTCTGGGTGGCGTTCATACCATTTTCTTTCAGTTTCTTTTCCGTAGAAGTTGCAAATTTTCCAGTGCAGATATTGGCCCACTCTGTCATGTCGGGTTTTATATTCAGTGGGTGCCAATATCGTGCAACCTGATACAAGATGATTAAATGTTTCTGGATATTTATCACAGAATCTGCATTTTGGGCTGACACATTATTATTATTATTATTACTGGGTGAACGATCTGGATGCCAACAAAACTACGGTAGACGGCAAATATACGACACTCAATATATCTATCAGTACATTCTTCCGGATTTGACTACGTGAATCACATTATTATCATTATTATTATTATTATTATCATTATTATTTTGAGTAAGTGGGTTGAACCACTTTTCAGGTCGTGTAAGCCTGTCCGCTAAGACCTTCTCTGATTAAGGTCATTAACAAACATCAATATATGACTTCCAAAATCGCCATGATGACCACATCCTTTTAAATCGACCCCACCCGACCAAAAATCCTTTCGACATTCCTCCGTGCCGCTTCCCAGTTATTCCAGATCTGGAACCTGACATACAGTGCCTGAAACCCTCAGGGAGATTCCCCAAATAGTTAATGCAAATTAACTGACATTCAAATCGGAGTAAACGAACGGGATATTTATCGTCGCTTTTCTTAATTAACGAAGACAAACTATGTACATATTAACGCGTCCAATCACTTATAATCCGAAACTATGATGGATAGGCTTCTTGTAGCCCTCATTATTATTATTATTATTATTATTATTATTATTATTATTATTATTATATGTGACATGTTCCTTCAGGGCGTTGGTGATCATGGCTTTTCATAGATTCCGTTTATTATCTGGGAATTGCTATGATTACCTGGGAGCGATAATAGAGGTATTTCCGGTCCTTATACCATGGTTTTGAATACAGAGGACTGCTTCTCCAACCAGGACGTGCATTGTTATATTACCTTTTGTATAATTATGTTACATACTCAAGTGGACACGACGAAAGGATTTTACTGTCTCCGTCAATCATGGCAAAGACCGAATCAAATTACAACAAAAAGAAAACGAAAAAAAAGTAAATAAAACGATTAACCCGTGAAAGAAAAGCAAAAAAAAAAACAAAAAAAACAAGGAAACGAAGAAAAAATGTCAAAGGAAAAAAAAAAAAACGAACAAAGAAAAACGAATAAAATATGAAAGAGAAAATAAAAAAAATAATTTATAGCGAATAAAAATATACAAAAAGAATAAATTTGGATTGGATCGCTTGACATCGATACATTTGAATCAAAAAGCATTCACATACGTAAATTAAATATAGGTTACTTATATTTGAGTCTATAAGCATTTACTTGACATTTTGGTTAGGTAAAGACTCGTTGTTTATAATTAACTCACCAGGCATTTACATGGTTAGTGGACAGGAAATTATTGGCCGTTTATAGTGAGGCCCCGCCTATTCGCGTTTCAGCATTTACGGTTTCACACATCCGCGGATTTTTCTTTAGAACATATGTACTTGTTAGTCTGTCTATATTTCTGAGATGAGGTATTATGTATAGTATTTACATTAGTAGGACTATTGTCCTCATCATTCTCGCCATATCTGTCACAACGTTTCGGCCGTTGTACGCTCCGGCCTTCTTCAGGTGGTTGGAATTTCGAACTGAACCCTTTATTTCGCTCACTGTGTTAGACTGTTCTAGTTCCACGTGCCATGTTTGATGGATGTCACTTATCAGTTATCTCCTGCAAATTTTCCCTCTGAAAGTTCTCCACTGCCTTAACCAGGTATTCAACTCACATTCTTTGGGTCTGTCACTGGATCTAACCAACGCCTTTATCCACTGTGCCATGTGTCCTTGAGGAGAAGGTCAGTTTTCATTGAAAAATACATCCCTACCCCTTACCAAATTGTAGCTAATAACTGATACAATGATACTGTCATAAGGAATACATAGACATCCCTTGTCCAATTGAAGTAGAATATTCTGTAACCATGGAAACGTAATTTTAGCTGTGTCTTTAAAACCCAGTAATTTTAAAAGTTACTCCAAAATTCGCTTGAGGATGAAATGGAACTAATGCTTTTAATTTAACTGCAAAATTAAATTCGGGGTTTTTAGCTTCTATTTTTGAAACATGGTTAGAACTGTGTAGCGGAAAAAAACATATTTTAAATCAATTAATTTGTATATATATATATATATATATATATATATATATATATATATATATATATTCCTTCACGACTCATAATGTTTGTTTCATACTATATATTTAGGTTTACAATGGAGTCTACATGAAGACCGTGTTATTTATTTACGTATCATTGATCCGACTGAACGTTATACGGGTCAATTTTCCACGGGGTCCCAGTTTCCTTCTCGTAGCAGTGGCTTAGATGTTTTCGGGGTCTCACTGGGCTCAGCCATTGATTTGACGCATAAATATATACGATGGGGTCTGCTATGCAGTGTTCGGTTTCCGGATGGATGGCATGATTCCAAGTGAATCTCATTGGTTTTCAAACGAGATCTCGTCTCATCATTCATCGTGTTCGTGTTACGCGATACCGGTTTACATTTGTTAGCAGGCGCTTGAAATATTTTGGGCCCTCACTGGAAGCAACAATCAATTTCCCTTATAACTTACACACACACATAAACAAACAAACACACCTACCCACACCCACACACCCACACACACACACACACACACACACACACACACACATATATATATATATATATATATATATATTCATCGATTTATCTCTAAGTGTATGTAACTATCACAGGCAGACATTTATTTAAATATTTCTTAATAGCAATAAATTCTAGAGATATGCGGAGGTATATAGATTTCCTTTTATACGTACGTATGTAGATAATAACAGCTGTATTAATACAGATAGTCTGATAGTTAAATCTGGATAGATAGATAGATAGATAGATAGATAGATAGATACATAGATAGATAGATTGATTGGTTCTTCTGAACTGAGACAGATCTTAAAGGATAGATAGATAGATAGATAGATAGATAGATAGATAGATAGATATGAACAAACTTAGATATGAACAGAATTATATCGATAGAGAGATTCATAGATACATACATACATAGATGGTGTTTATCAATCCACCCACGGGGATCGAATGTGGCACAAGGCCTTTTTAATGTGGGTATGTCTGAGCCCGTAGGCCCAGCCAAAAATAAAACCCATCTAAACCCGTCCAAGCGGGCTAGTTCCGTCAACCTCCCCGAACGAAACCCCACCCTTCGGCGGAGCTTCGTCCGGGTTCCCCTCTGCAAGCAGAGAGTTCGACAGACACCCGACCCGGCAGCTCACAAAGCGCAGATACTACACTTTGATCCTAGCCACCGGGCCGAGCGGGTATTCTTTTTAGAGATACATACATACATAGATAAGAACACAGAGATAGATGTGTAGATATATATGAACCGACTGAGATAGATAGATAGATAGATAGATAGATAGATAGATATAGAAATGTGTACATAGAGAGATAAGAGCAGATTGAATAAGATAGATAGATAGATAACATATCTATTTCTGTTCACATCTATCTATCATAATTATTTTGAAATTTTACTTACATTGGCAGGTATATTAGAATAGACTGAGATAGATAGATAGATAGATAGATATGAACAGACTGACATAGATAGATAGATAGATAGATAGATAGATAGATAGATAGATAGATAGATAGATTCTTGTGAACTGAGACAGATCTTAAAGGACTGATAAATAGATAGATATGAACAAACTAAGATAGATAGATAGATAGATAGATAGATAGATAGATAGATAGATAGATATGAACAAGCCTCAGATAGATAGATAGATAGATAGATAGATAGATAGATAGATAGATAGATAGATATGAACAGAATGATACCGATAGAGAGACATAGATAAGGATACATAGATAAGGACACTCTGAGATAGATGTGTAGATAGATATGAAAAGAATGAGGTTGAGCGATAGATAGATATGAACAGACTGAGATAGATAGATAGATAGATAGATAGATAGATTTGACAAAATTATATAGATTTGTAGATACAGAGATAAGTATATATAGAGATAAGTGCAGACTGATATAGATAGATAGATAGATAGATAACATATCTATCTCCTTCTTTTCATATCTATCTATCATAAGTATTTTGAAATGAACTTTCTACAATATCTGAGATGATATCCTCGTTATCTGAGAAAGATTACTCGTATTTTGGAAAAGTCGACCAATAAAAAAAAATGACACAATACGAAGATTGTCTTCAATAACATGTATCAAAAATACTTTTAGAAACACTGGCGCAAGATTCCACAACACCAAAACAATGACAAGAATCCATTTAGACATATGTCCGCAGAATTTCGTTTTTTCGTTATAAAGTTTAAACAAAGACTACGTTTGATGTCGCGGTGTTGCTATCTAGACTAGGTTACATTTGCCAGTCGTGTAGATATGTGGACATTATGTCTTCTACGTTTAACGTGTGTAGTAGTGAGTTAACTGAGAAGTGTTCCGTTTAACAATAGCAGGGTATTCATATCGTGAGCAGGGAGATATGATTTTTTAAGACCACGTGAATGGTAATGGTCGCGAGTCTGTATCAGATTGCGTATACAGACCAAAGGCAGCCGAATCATCCAACATTTACTGCTGTTTATCGTAGCGTTGCTGTGACAGAATCCGTGGCACCAGAAATATGGATAATGGAAGATCTGGTCATATGCCTGACCATTAAGAAAACAATCGAGAGGCTGTCGGATCCCGGTATCAGTAAATGTCAAGTGGCCCTAGCGTGTTTTATATCTCTCAGTGCCGCATGGAGAGTGATTGAAGAGCAGCTCCTGTATCCATGTCATTTACAACGTGTGCATGGCCTTTTGCTTCCAGGAGAACGTATGCACAAAATGCAATGTCTGTTGTTAGTCAGCATTGATAGGCGGATCGGAGTCCCCATGAGTCCCCAGGCGAGACAACAGCATCAGCGTACGATTAATGTGTGGGCTGGAATTGTAGGTGAATGTTTGGTCGGTCCATATGTCCTCCCAGTACGTCTTACAAGAGCTGTCTTAACTATTTACATTATAGTCTTTGTCGCCATTTTTATTACAACGTTTCGGCTGCTGTACGCTCCGGTCTTCTTTAGGTGGCTGGAATGTCGAATTGAACCTTTTATTTCGCTCACTGGGGTAGATATTCTAGTTACACGTACCATGATTAATGGATGTCAGATATCTCCTGTTAATTCCGCTTTCTAAGTTCTCCATGGCCTTAAACAGGTATTGAACTCATACTCTCTGGGTCCTGTCGTTGGATCTAACTAACGCCTTTATCCACTGTGCCATGTGTCCTTGAGGACATGTGTATGAATTTCTGGGTATTATAAAACTAATGTCTTCAGCAACCATTTTTTTTTACCAATTTTTGCTGTTATCATTGTATATTTTTTACCAGAGCTCATAATGCAATTTTTGTAGTTACTATCGCTTTTCTCTGGCACTCCTTATTACTGGTTCCCATATTGTATTCATTTCTATGCTTGGTCGGCTCAGGAGATTTTTGTGGCCTAGCATATGTGCTGATTCCTTAAGTTTACGAATATTCCAATGGAGTTCTTTGTCTACGATTTCAACCTGATCCCACAGAGGGCGGTGATCTCACTTTTCTCTCCATATGTGGTCAGCCACGCCTGATTTTTCCCTCGTGTTACAACTTTCTGATGTTCTTGAAGCCTTACCTTAAGGGGGCGGCCTGTCTCCTCTTTATATTTCTTTCCACAACTGCACGGGATAGCGTACACACAGAGCAGTCGCCATTTCGAACACACTTCCTGACCTGCTCGGATTGTGTCTTGGAGTGTATATTTAAATACCGTCTACTGTAAGCTTTAAACGAAGGATTTGCATTAAGATGGACTTTTGTTTTTGCTTCGGTGTAAGGAAACTGTTCCCAAATTTTGCAAATTATTTTTGATACGCCCCCTTTATGCACAAACACACACACACACACACACACACACACACACACACACACACATATATATATATATTTATATTTACAATTTCTCTCTCTTTCTCTCTTCCTCCCGCTCTCTTTCTCTCTCTCTCTCTCTCTCTCTCTCTCTCTATATATATATATATATATATATATATATATATAACTGTCCGGTATCAATTGCCGGTAGTGAATGCTCACTGCTGATGCTATCCCATATATAGGACGAAACAGCCGTCCAGTGATTTCTGCATTCTGTTGAGGTTTCTATCAGCCTCGATGAATTAATTAATATAATTATCAAAATCCTCATAATTTCTATCTATCTATCTATCTATCTATCTATATATATATATATATATATATATATATATATATATATATATATATGCAAGTATAGGATTGGTGTATACTGAATAAATTCCAATAAACAACAAATACTATTCTTAAAAGTGTGCTCAGTACAGAGTAGAGCAAATATAATTATTTATTCGAAAATTATAACATATTTATATCCTAATTTTCGAATATATATATATATATATATATATATATATATATATATATATATATATATATATATATATATTAAAAAAAAAACAGACCACTTTAAGGTTCCATGTAATAAATTATTTCACCATAGCCCTTTTAAAATTACTGCGGATCATCAGACTTTACTTCCAAACAAAAAACGAAATTGGTCTGTTTTTATTTAAATTATTTGTTCTGGATGTACATTGAGCTCTCTGGATTATATCCTCCTTAGGTTTACTCATACGGATTAACTGGTTTTTCATAGAATATATATATAGTCGATATATTCTGCCTTAAGACTTACATATAGATGCATTTTGTTTTGTATTGCACACCTTGACTAAAATAAAGATATTTATTTACTAGATAAATCTATCAGCTTTTAAGTTTTTTCCGAAATTTCGATGTTTTTATCTGTCTTTGTTTTTATCCATTATTTTATGTATTTCTTCATCTCTGGCTCCAAACATAGAGCTGTTTCAAAAATCAATCATTAATATATTATATTTAATTAATTCATCGAGTCTGACAGAAACCTCTACAGAATACGCTGGGCGGCTGTTTCGTCCTATATTCGAAACCCATCAGCAATGCGCATCCACTACCGAGAAATGAAACCCTGGCAGTTAGGTTGTCAAGCAAACATCATACCAACTGTTCCACTGGGCCTCAGTGACGAAGAGATTGCAAATCAGACTCAATATAGCGCCGCTCACTCACATATTCCTTGGTGGAACTTTTACTGTGTTCTCTGTAACCATAGGACGGTGCCCCTTGGAGTCACGACTACTCTCACCAAGCCGCTCACTCTAGAGAATTAGAAGCCGGTTCAAGCAATGATGTACATGATAGAAATTATTAGGAGGATTTGATAATTATAATTAAGTAATACATCGAGTCTGAAAGAAACTTCACCAGAATGCAGCAAGCACTGGACGGCTGTTTCGTCCTGTATTTGGGACTCATCAGCAGTACGCATCTACTTTCTGCATTCTAAACGAACAACCCTTTTAGAAAAAATCATTATGTATACAAGTACAAATTTAATGGCAAAACAAATGTGCCTAGAATATTAATGTCATTGAAAAAGAACAGACGACATGCGTTGAACGGCTGTCATCATTCGTTTGACATAACCTCTTTTCGAAAGTAGTTGTCAGTGAAAGTGAATACCCTACAACCCCTTGTTAATATTATTGGTTTTGTTCATATCCATAGAAACTAATATTATAAATGTATGTTCTTATAAAGCTCCGTAAATTTCAAAATAAGTTATTCCAAAATTCGCTTGAAAATGAAACAGAACTAGGTACTTTAATTTAATTTCTATAGAAGAATTGGAAGTTTTTAGCATGTTTTTGAAACATGGTAATTTCTGTGTAGCGATGGAATCATATTTTAAAAAAATAATTTTATATAAAAAAAATAATTATAAAATTCGACCTTGTCTACCGAAAGGTTCTTTGCGGCCGAGACGGTTAAGGCACGTCAGCGTAAATGACGGTTCCGTATATGATGCAGGTTCGAATCCTGTCAAAGAACGAATATTTTCTATGAAAATTTCTCGGACATCCAGGCCGGTAAATGTTATTTAATACTGTTTATCATAAACAGAGCATTTGCTTAAATACTTGTATCTATAAATAACAACGTTAAACATAAAAATGTCTTTAATAAATAAATTGTCGGATTTTCTCCATTTCTTAATATATGACGTCATTTGTTTACATTTGATACGCCAGAGCAGTTATGAATGTACGAGATTCATGGAAGATTGAAGTTTATAAGCAGTAAATTCGACCTTGTCTACCGAACGCTCTTTGTGGCCCAGAGGTTAGGCACGTCAGCGTAAATGACGGTTCCGTAAAGGATGGAGGTTCTATGAAAATTTCTCGGACATTCAGGCCGGTAAATGTTATTTAATACTGTTTATCATAAACAGAGCATTTGCTTAAATACTTGTATCTATAAATAACAACGTTAAACATAAAAAATGTCTTTAATAAATAAATTGTCGGATTTTCTCCATTTCTTAATATATGACGTCATTTGTTTACATTTGATACGCCAGAACAGTTATGAATATTTTCATGGAAGATTGAAGTTTATAAGCAGTCGGACACCTTGTTCAGGGCACGTCAGCGTAAATGACGGTTCCGTAAAGGATGGAGGTTCTTGAAAATCGGACATTCAGGCCGGTAAATGTTAATACTGTTTATCATAAACAGAGCATTTGCTTAAATACTTGTATCTATAAATAACAACGTTAAACATAAAATGTCTTTAATAAATAAATTGTCGGATTTTCTCCATTTCTTAATATATGACGTCATTTTTTTTACATTTGATACGCCAGAGCAGTTATGAATGTACGAGATTCATGGAAGATTGAAGTTTATAAGCAGTAAATTCGACCTTGTCACCGAAAGCTCTTTGTGGCCCAAGGTTAGGCACGTCAGCGTAAATGACGGTTCCGTAAAGGATGCAGGTTCTATGAAATTTCTCGGACATTCACAAATTAAATGTTTAATACTGTTTATCATAAACAGAGCATTTGCTTAAATACTTTGTATCTATAAATA